AACTCAGCACAAAAGAGAGTACAATGTTCGAGGGTTAACGAACCCATAAATTATAAATGAGGAAGAGACACTTCCCTAATATTATAAGAAGTTCGTTTTCTTCCCCGACAGAGACAAGGCTCTGAGCCCAGGGACGAGATCCAAACTCCAACCCCAAATAAATATGTACTGTTGGGCAATAAAATTAACAGACCACTGCACCCAAAGGGAACTAGTCTGATAACAAAATCCAAGGCTACTAGAAATAGATAAAAAAACGAAATCAAGCAGATGAGAATTACAAAGACAGGGCATTCACATGAACAAATTCCTACCACTTCTTGCAAGCTATATCAACAGCTGTAGCTTCAGGCCTTAAAACATTGTGAAAAATTCATAGGTTGCGGGTTTTTTAGATCCTCCAAAGGATATAGGTGGATAACTGTAACCTGGATTCAGAGACAAGGTTATATGGGATGGAACAGAGATGCATCCACCACTCCTCAACGAAGCCTGAGAAGTCAACCGTACAATTCCAGAACACATGGGAGAGTTTCTAGATGAGAGTGGCTCTTCTGCATCTACAAAAATAAAGGTGCTCTTGTGTTTACAATCCTTCTCCACAGAGCTTATAAGTAGTATGAACTGGGAGTCTTCTTGCAGACATGTTTCATGACAGGTAAGATGTTGTTAATGATTTTCCATAAAAAATGCTTTAACTTGCCTTTCATTTGCAGTTGTCAAGTCCTCCTCATTGTAGCTTTTAGTTCCTTATGGTTGGAGCTTGACTCTGCAAGATCCACCAGTCTCTATTTCTGGTGCACTAGCTTGCTTAGGTTGAGGGCACAGAGAACTTCCCATTCTTATTCCACTCCCACTTTAGTCTGTCTCCAGTTGGCTGTAGCCAGAAGTCCCTGACAGTGTCATGAAAAAGTGGTGGGGAATCCACATGTTCTGGAACCGAAACGAAGATCAACAGCGGGCCCTCAAAATTGACATCGAATGAGAAGAGAAGCATGTTTGGACTCGATTCGAGGGAGGTATGTGACGATCGTAACCGCAAACACCCTCGCCCATTTTCAGAGATCAAAGCACGATCGAGCCTCTCATTGACTCCGTTCGGCTGCCAAGTGAATGGGGAACTATTGCATCCAGCATCAATTAACTCACAATCTGCCACCGCCTGAGTGAAATCCCATATCTCCTCTGAACGGTCCAAATGACGCCCATACTCTCATCAGGATGCATAAAGATGTTGAAATCACCGGTTGCCAACCACGATAATCTTTTCATACTTTCAAAAACCTCATGCATGGTGTCCTAGAGACCATAGCACCTAACCCTCGCACAACATGCGTAAACCAAAGTGTGGAAGATGGCTCAGGAAAATGGGCAGCAGAGAGCTCAACTTGTGCACTTGCTCGTATCACGGATGACCCGGCAAGTGTAGTCACACAAAAAGAAGAACCATATCTTATTGAAAATGTTGCTCACGCCAGAGTGGAAACCAAGGCGGCGTGAGTAGAAATCAAAGTATATGGGCTTACCTCACTCCTTTATGGGCTTATTCTTTTAAACTTTTAATGGAAGAATAAAAAATCTACAAATTGTTTATTTAAATTTATGCCCATTTTGACGGATTCTTTGGAGACATATAGGAAGATCTTTGCGAAAACGAATGTGGAAAGCCTAGGTGGCCGCTTAGATCGATATAAAATTTCTTATTTTTGTCATGGTTTTGTTTGGTTTTTTAGTTTACCAGAGCTAAATTTAAAAAATGTGATATTGTTAGTTGCTAGTGAGGTTTTGGATTTATATTAAATATTTAAATAAAATAATTAAATTTGATTTGTTGTAAAAGTAGGAGAGAAACGATGTGAAGTGATGATTAGTTAAAATTCTGCGAATGGATGAATAATGAATTAAATTTGATGTGGTATGTAAGGATGTTTGATTGATATTTTTCAATTATATTAATAATATTGAGGATAATTAGATTGAGTTAAATGTGAGATAAAAAAAAAAGTAGTTTAGTTAAAAATGTTTGTATATTGTTGCAATATCTTATATCCAAGAATGGGACTAAACCTATCGTACCTCGTCTCTTTCCTATTTTGATTTAGATATACAATAGTAACCTATAGAATTTATAGTATGGCTGTGTTTGTTAAACAACTTTTTGTTTAGCTTTTAGCGTTTTCACCTAGGTTTAGCGGTTTGACCAAAGCAAACAGCTAAATATACTGTTTGGTAAAATGACTTTTCCAAATAGCTTTTTTCAACAAACCGCCAAAATCCGAAACGCTGTAATATGCAGCGTTTCCGAATAGCTTTTTGGAGAAAATGTCTAACTTCTTTGCTTTTATTTTATAGCAGGCACAAATTGGAAAGAAAAAATAAATAAAATAATGATGGCTCACTTTATTTGATAGCAGACACAAATTGGAAAGAAAAAAGAAATAAAATAATGATGGCTCACGTCACCACACACATTTACATTTATTTTGGACTCAAGAATCATTAGTTGTTTCTTATGCTACATAAAAAACAAAAAAAAAGTTTGAAAATATATTTCAATAAATTATTAGAATAGTATTTGTTACTTGTGCGACTTACATGTATTATATTATAATAATTTTTTACTTATAACATATAACTACATTAAACATGAATATATTAATTGAAAAATACTTTTTTACAAACCGCTAATTTTACCAAACACTTTTTTACAAACCGCCAACACAATAAGCTGGTCAAAACAGCTAATACAATCCGCTGGTCAAAACAGCTAATTCAATCCGCTAACAGCTAACAGCTAACAGTTGATTACCAAACAAGGCATATGTGTTTTTAATTTGAGATTTTGTTAAATTATCGTGGTATTTTCGTTTTTGAAAATTGTAGAATAATTTACATTTCCTATATTTTTTTGTGTTATCTTTTGATAAGACTAAAATTATGTTTACTCTAAGTTCTTAATAACTAGTTTAATGTTACTATTATACATGTTGTGTTGCTAAATATACATTGAAACATTGAATAATAAAAAGCCATTTTCATTTTTGTTGGTCGTTCAAGGGGGTAAGTGGGAATTAGATTCTTTTTTTTT